CTGTTCAAACATGCATGGCCAAATAGTTCCAACAATAAAACGTGCTGCTGTGTAGCGTCGAGTAGTTCTAGTGTTGGAGTAGAGTTGACCTGGTGTGCCTGAGCAGCAGGATGGTTGAGTGACAAGAGAGAGAGGCAGAGATCTGCACATTCCAGGGAAAACAATGGTGTAGAGTTATCTCTGGGACATTTTAGGGGATGTAGGGATTATTTTCATGGAAAAACTTCAAAATATGTAATTTTGATTCACAGAGGTCTCAGGGGTTTCATCAACAAGCAGATAGGGACTTTAGCTCCAGGCTTAGAGCCCAACTCACAAGCCTCTGCATCCAGCTTTTTTTTAAATTTTTTTTTTACTCTAATTGTATTCTCATAGTTCTGGCAGGAAATGGAGATTTGTATCTCCACAGCTTTAATGCTTCTTTCAGGATGTTAGTCCATTTGCCACTCTTCATCATCCATCATGCTCTATTCTCTCTGCAAAGCAAGTTCCAGCTACACACTGACGAGAACATGCAGGGAGCATCATGATTGCTGCGTCACAACCAGTCATGCTTCAGGTGGCACAGGAAGGTCTGGACAGCGCTGCTATTCATTTATTTAACCAATCCTCTGAAAAGTAGGCCATATGCCAAATTGTGACTGTCCACAATATCAGCCGTCACACTGTCCACCCTTACAGACAGTGACACAAAGGAAGAGTAAATTAAATAGGAATGTGATAGTGTGCTGATCCCAGAGGCCTGCTCTGCTGCTCAGAGCTTATTCCACCCCTGTTCAAAGACACTTCTGCAGGGTGGACAACTGCCTCCCTTGTTTTTCAGTCCTTTCAAGAGACATGGCCTATGTACTTTCTATTGACTACACTGCTAAATAATGGCTGCAATATCCCAAACACCGAGGATCATTAGACTGAAGATGTAAACTGGAATTAGGATCCTGTAAGTTGCTTGTAGGGGAGTGTCTACATGGGACTCTCAGGGCTGTTTGTGTGGTTTGGTGGCTTCTTCAGGCTTTTACATCGTACCTTTAGGTCCGCTCCCATGGTGATGAATCAACCATGTTGCTCATATGTGTCGAGTTTTGTTTATATCGACTCATCTGCAAGCCTCTACGAGCTACAGTCACTCATGTGAGCTGGTCCTCGCATTACAGCCATTAAGAACAAAACTAACAAAAGGTGAGGCTGATGAAGAGTTTTTACTGTGAGGAAGTTGCACACATACATCATCATCATCTAAACCTCTTTCGTTCATGTCAGTGGACCAGAACAGGATGCTACAGTTCAGATGTGTGGCAGTGATGCGGAGAATATATTTGTTGTCTGGTGATGAAGCTTCTGAAAACTTGGCTTCAAATGTTAGCAAATAGGAAATATTTATAACTTATAAGGCAACACTCAAGTTAAAATGACCAACTTCAGGCATTATTTATCGAGTCTCCTTTTTCTTAATTCCAACTTTAAACTATTGCAAAGAGCAAAAAGGTGAACAAAGGAAAACTGCTGAACAGTGCAGAACCCAATCACAGAATCACAGACGGCTGAAGGACATTCAGTTTTGGAAAACTGCATCAGTCTTTTACGTTTTATTTTATTTACATACAGTCTTGATTTACACACATAGCCCATGACCCACAGTATTAGTACTAAACAAACTGACATTTTGAGCTTTTAAAGCAACGTGTTGATAATAACTACGCAGACTTAAGTTTTCATGAAACACAGTCAGTTTTTTAAATGTGGTATTTTTACCAGAGGTTTAGCAGGTATATTAAAACAGATAAATGCCTTAGTTATTGTGGTTAAACAGGAGAATTGTGGTGTCTTCTTAAATCAATAGCAAGGTGCATCAACAAACTGTGACATTTATGGCAAATTTCACACAGAATGTGGTTCGTGTCTGTTTTACTGCTGGTCTGGCAATTTCCTACTCATCTAATCTTTTCCACCTTCATTTAATCTTGCAGCGGTTTTTATTTGCATAATGTAAACATGCAGATGTAGATGGTTCAGATATAAATCCAGTTAGACCAAGAAAGGAGCACACATCCTCGTAAAGAACAGGTCTGATGAAGCCGATGTCCTGGACGTGTGTCAACTTGAAATTATTTAAACTGAAGCCTTTAAATGGGTAAGTAGAAGCGAGGTATATCTGCCTGTGTTTTAGATTTTAATATAACCCCTCACAGTGACAGAAAAAGAACTGTTGAATAGGTATGAGGTGGGAGTGCATTCCCGACGGGAAGCAGCAGCACAAGATACTCAACTGGGACAAAGCCAGCAGACCCTGAGGGGAATGTCGTCTGTGTTTAGGCTCTGAATAAATTCTGAATTAACTGTAGCATAAATTCTGCCCCTGACTCTGTTTTGTTGTTATTTTGCACCAGGCAGCATTTCAAATAGAGAAAAAATAAAAATGGCAATTTAATTCAAGAAAAAAAATCCACACGGGAATATCCATAAGTGATCAAATTACTCCATCATCGCTCCACAATGCTTTCAGCCAATCAGCCAGCTATGTATGCTGCAGGATAAATGCCGAATGTAATTATGTTCTGGTGAAGTACAAAGGTTTTTCTGCTCTTTTCCACTGACTCATGCTTAACAGACCTGATGAGACCTGGGCAGATGTTCCACTTCACCACACTTCAGAGGAACAGTGGAGCCCGAGTTTAAGAACTCCAGTTAGCAGAAGCACATAAAAGGTTTAATAAATGTAAGGTTGATTTTAACATGGTGCTATAGTGTGTATGTAAGTCTGACTGACTGATGGGACTGGGCTGCACTAGTCAAGCTCACAGCACACCGTAATGGTTGCACTCAAGAAATTTGATCTGATGTGTTTAACTGTGTGTCTGTGTGTGGAGTACTCACAGCCTCGGTGTGGACCGGGTGCACGGCGAACAGGAGCGCTGTGACGAAGGCCAGACGTGAGTCTTCAAACACGCACCGTTCACACGTTTGCATGAGCAGGCAGGTGACAGCGCAGTGCAAGCACACGTTGACGATGTGGAAGTAGAGAGGCGTCATACCGCCCAGCAGGATGTTCAACCTGACCGACACAGAGAGAAAAACTCAGCTGTACGGGAGAAGAGCAACATCAGACTGTGTGAAAAGGCGAATGATATTAGAAAAGCTAAAAACAAGCAAAACAAAAGGATAACAGGCTGATGAACGGATAAGTACATTCAGTGTCATTCATTTTCTCATAAAGCCCAAGCATATGGGGACAACAAAGGGGTCAGCGTTATCTAAGACAATCACACAGAATACGGGGCCAATGGATTTACTGTGGGAATCTGTAAAGTAAATTACATTTTACATTTCCTGGATGAAGTGATTGTCTTATAATCCTGAGCAGAATCTCAATCCATTTTCCACAGCGCCATGAATTTCAAATAAAAGAGAATGATTGCTTTGAGAGAGAATGTCAGATTCCCGACATCAAATCACAGCCTGCTTAACATCTTCCAGCAGCTAATCCCTCAGCGAGGAATAACAGTGAGATAGGCAATTTTCACCTAGTTTATCATAATTGGTATTATGCTGTAACCATTCCCTCTCCACCCAACAGAATATCAACAACCTGATAACAGCAAACCAGGAAAATAGAAAGCACTACAGTGGTTCAGGTTCCAACCATCATTCGATGATACAGACCATTTTTATACATTTAGTATGGATCTTACTGCAACCAGAGCTGAATGATTTGAAGAAATAACTGTGAGAGAGCTGCAGTGAGTGGGCATGTCAGTAGACCTTTGTGCCAATCACTTAAACTTAAAACAGAAACAGAAAATACTAGTATACTGACAGATGGGCTGCACTTACAGCAGCCGTTCACCTCAGCAATTTACACTTCTTACCTCTCATTCACACCAGCGTGCACGGCTGACATGAGGAACGATTCAGGGTTCAGAGTCTCGCTTAAGAACTAAGAGGCACGTGGACCGGAGGAGCCGAGGACTGAGCCCTGCAATTAGTGGACAACCTGCTTCACCACCAGAACCACAGCTGTCCACAAATATATAGATGCTGCATTTTTTCACAGGAGAGCAAATTAAATTTAGGAGTTTAAGCAAGACAATATAGATTTTGTGGCCAAACTAGATCACATTATTATTCCAAGCAGAATATCTTTAATGTTTTAAACCTCTCTTTGCTGCTATTGATTGCCTACGTGCCACTGAACAAGACGAGTTTAGACAAAACACAATTACAAACCCTATTTGCCCATGAAAAGAATCAGATAATACGGCTGATTGTTATTAAAGTCCTCCAAGGGAGGCGATGGAAATGTCGTTGGTTTTGCAGGTACTTGGTCACAAACCAAAGTATTTAGCTAATTAAAATGTTGACCTGATGTTGATGCTTGAGGGATCAGCAAAATCATTTTTAATGTATTCTGAGAAGGAACAGTTGTTGTGATAGTTCACTCAAAATCACAAA